CAAAATTGGAAGAAAACCAATTTCTATTCTTTTCATCAACTTTTGTTACACTTTTTCTCTAGTATTCTACTGCTATAGTTCCTACTTCTTCATTATACAGTTCAAGCCATAACTGTTTCATTTCTGAACAATTGATGTCTCTCTCTTTGTAACTTTAATGTTAACAAGAACATGTCCTTTGACCTGAGAACCAAAGAGTGCAATTTTGTAGAGCTCTGTAGATCTAAAATGCTGGCATTTTGTGTGTTGATGACATTCATATGATTCTACTTATGATTCAGTCTTTGCTCACGTGTTTTAAAGTGGATACAAAAAATTAAATGAGCCACTTCTATTTCCACTGTTGACTTATCTAGAGTTCCTAATTGAAAATTTCCTTCCATAGCTAGATATGCCAAAAATTCACCCGAACTCGTAACCCCTGCAGTTTGCAATTTGGGGTTTTTAAGCTGTTTGGCAGCTTTCAAAATCTACAGCACAGAACTGCTTCCTTAATATTATTGTGTTCACATTTCTCAAACCAAGTGGGAAAACAACATTTTTCCCATGTTATTTCTGTTTCCTCACCTTCTAGAAATGATCTTTTTTTTGCTTTGAAACTGAGCCTTTCATTTTGAAACAATAGGGTCTTTGTTTGTTCTATTCTTTTTTTAAACTTTGACATTTTATGTTTAGTTTTGTAATTGTAAAAAAGTATTAAAATCTTTTGAATGTACCCTCTTTCTTATATTTTATTTGCCTTAAGGGTACGAGCAAATTTCTGTCCATGATGCTTTTTCTTTTTAATATTGGCTTGGTTTTTATTACATAAAAAGAGAGGAAATGGCAAGTTTCTAGACTATAAATAAAGCTCTGTGGTTATGGTTTTTGGAACATTGGCAGGCCTATGGATCAGGGCGTATTATCTTGCAACACTAAAATTATGGATTCAGGTAATAATGGGGCCTTTTCTACCTGATGTTAATATTTTTTGTTTAGGTTTAGCCTGGTGAAGCGGCAGGCAGAAGGCTACATGCTGCTTTTTGGTATGTCTTGTGTAATAGCCCTCAGACCCAAAAAGTCAGCAGTGGTATTTGTAGAGGGACTCTTATGGGAGTGATCTCTAGCACTGTCCTGTAAAATATCTTCAGTCTCTGACTGTGTCCATATCTCTGTTCTTTAACCACAGCTATAACTGTTCAGTCTCTAGTCATCTCCTGTAGCATGTCAATATTTTTTGTCAGGGCCCCCAGTCAAGACTTCTTATACCTCCTAAGTTGACCAGCTCTGTTGTAGGTAACAATTAGGCATCTATCCAAAAGACAACTTAACTTTAACTGTAAATTCCATAGAGGATGAGGATTGATGTCAAAGACAGTTGACTGTGTTGAAGAGGAAAACTATGGTGGAAGGAAAGAAAATCAAGTCATCTATGGGCTGCTTAATATACACTATAGTATTCTGTTTCCTTGCAATGTTTAATGCATTAGAATGTAAGAGCTGAAAATAGTAGGAGCTGGTCCAAATATAGATCAATAGCACAGTCAAGATCTAAATGTGTCAACGTGTCCTTTTTGACTTTTTTGATGAAATAAACTAATGAACCATTGGTCTGACAGCCGTGTTTATTTTTGTACCTTTTTAATTTTACCTGAAGCCCCTTCAAGATTCATCTGCACATCTGTAAGCTGCCAACCAAAAGTCCTTATATTCGACAGTATTTCAGGCTGCTTTACACTCAGCTCAAAGCCCTGATGAAGGGACCCATTAGAACACTCAAAACAGGTTGGCTTGTACTTTTTATATCTTAGGAGATAAAGGGATGCAATATGATGATGTATCGGGAAATAAACTCCTTATGGTCTCCCAACAATTTGGGAGAATAGAATGCCCGTTAAAACACCAGATCCCCATTACAGGCTTTGGATTTAATAGAGTTTTTAAAATGCACGTTGATGCCCAAAAATGCAAATAAAAAAAAAATCTGTAAATTGTGTTAAATAAATGCTACTACAACAAAGAGTGTGAGTACATCATTAGATCATGTATATCCATTTGCGTTTAGAGCTTGGAAATTGGGATTAAATTAGAGGTTGAGCTTTTTCATTCTGGTTTTACCAGGCTAGAAATTGGGGAGAATCTCCAACAAAAACTTGTAAAGGTTTGTCAGCAGGTTAGGGAGTGAGGAGAGGTGCAAAACACCCGTTTGTAAAAAGGTTTTAAAAAGCATTGATCATGCAGGTCAAATATGTTGTCTGGCAAATTTTATGACATGCTAGCTTCAATTATTTGCTCCCCTCCCTTAATCCATTGTGATGATGTTGAGGTTAACAAATCTTACCATGCATTGGAACATTTATAATACATGTTTTAGCTACAGTTTACGATCCTCTGTTTACTCAATATGTATTTTCATTCCAGATTCTAAAACCCCTTTTTTGCATCTTAGCCGTGTTTATTAAATCATTAATGAATCGGATCTTTTTTCATTCCTGAAAGCGACAAATTAATTGTATCATAAGTCTTTGCAAATATGTTGAGCTCAATGACATTGCTCTCAACGACATTATTTTGAACAACATTCAGCGCGAGATGAAAAGCAGATTTATGCACTTATTAATATTTTATATATAGTTTTGTTTGCAAGAATAGAACATTGCTGACATTCTAAGAACCACATTTTAATGGCAGATAATGACAGAGAGCAAAACAAGGTGGTTTCTCTCTTTTTCAAAGGGTGATTCGAGTTTGCTTTGCATATCCCAGGCACATTCTCCTATTGTAGTGCCAATGATACGTTGCCTTATGGGGGGACATGGTGAAGTAGTTGGGCTTACTTAAGATGATTATGGTAGAAAACCATGGTGGGCTTTGACGCATGTGGTGCAAACCAGACTCTTGGAAACAATTGACATTGGATTGTATATGGAATAGGTAATAGGGACATTATTGGTGTGCAATGTTCTTAAGTTGTAAGGCTGCCACAATTATTATTATTATACAGTATTTATATAGCGCCAAAGGGTATGCTCGGTGCTGTACAGTAGCAAGGGGGACAGGACATGAGACAAGACAGTAACAATACACTACACGAGGGGTTCGAGGGCCCTGCTCTTTCGAGCTTACAATCTAGGAGGGATTTGTAAATCAACAGTTGGCTTGGTTGGTGAATGGTCAGTTCTTTCAGTTTTTGTTTACAGATGAACCCCAGGTACAAATAATGCAGCTCAGCAATCATTACATTATGTTTTTTGCAAGCAGTACAAGTACTCAAATGTGCTGTGGTATCTTGCAATCCCCTGTACAAGAGAGCTTAAACCTGAGGAGGACGTAAAAGCACAAGGAGCCATTGGGGTCTATGGCGCTGTATAGAACCTGTGGACCCCAAGAAGAGTGACTGAAAGATAATCCCACAGGGTAGGCTGGGAAGGAGGCCTGTAAGCAAAAATAAAACTACAGCAAATAACCATTAGGTTTTTTTCCTGGCTATACTGACTATACTATGTGCTAGAGCTGTGTAAATTCCAAAGCCTGGATGGACAGAAAAAGAAAAGACTATTGTGCTGTGACATGTCAGAAAGTGAAGACAAATCCAACAATATGATTACCATAGAACAGAAGCTCAATGAAAATCTTCAGTTGGGGACACTTGTTCCTATGACAGTTGTTTAAAGGGAGGGGTTTGCTTTCCTTTAGAAAAATCTGCTTTCTTTCTTTGGAGTCTCTTGGACAGGAAGTTAAATCTCCCTAATTGGATGCACTTGGCAAATAATTGACATAGATTTTATGAAGGGGGCTGAGGCGAGAGATTGAACACTGAAGGCTTTTTACCTTCATGAATACAACTGGTAAGCTGCAATATAATACATTTTTTGCTTTTGGGTTTAATGCTGCTTTAAGCCAGTAGCAGGCCCCAGCACAGATCCCAATTCACTACATAAAAGAAAAAGAGGAACTCTAGCGCATTGCCTTTATATTGCAAATTTATCTGGGTCAGTTAGACTCACAGATAATAGCAGAAATACAGCATAAAACAACTCACCACTCCACTCGACCGGTCGTGTGCATGTTCGATGATTTCTGCTCCAAAACTCCATCCTACGTACCCCACCTCTACGTTTTATCCACCAACGTGATGGGTTATTTTATGTTCTGGCCTTAAGTATATGGAACTACTCATTTGTGCATATATTTGGATAGATTCATTTGGAAATCTCCAATGGATCATCCAGCAGAATCCTAGAGTAGTAACATCTTCTGTCTTGGGGCACCTTTGGTAAACTGTTGGTGTTCTTTATAGTCACCTAAATTAAACTGGTGGGGGAGCTGTTCATATTTTGAAGTACAAAGGATAAATATGACATTTTATTGCTTCAGGCGCTTGGTAAAGTTATTATTTTTCACACATTAAAAAGATGCAAGATGTTGCACTAAAGCACTAACACTTGATGGACAGACTGTTGTTGACCACAGGAACCTGATGTTCCAGCATTCTATACTGGTATAAGGAGAAGCTTTATATATTAGTTTTTTTGGCCATTTATCTTGTAAGGGTCATTGTAATGATCCCATTGTAATGATCCCATTTTCATTGACATCACACTCTACTTTGCATTTTCTCACTCTAAGGCTAATGTTAGATTCTCCGGTTAGTGATCCTGATGCTGGCAATCTGTCAAAATTGCCAGCGGCAGGATTGCTAAAAGGCTGCCTGTTTGCCCCTATGTAGCCGAGGCAGCAATATGTCCCTCCCATCACTAGTGATCAGGATTAAGCAGCACTGGAGCCCGAAACAGAACAACATCCAGTTGCATCTGGCTACAGAGGGAGCCCTTCCATGGGAACAGACAAGCAGCCTCTTTAGCAATCCAGCTGCCGGCGATGTGTCTCTAGTGGCAGAATTGCCCATCTGACATCAACCTAATTCTTCTCTTGTTTTCAACCAGGTATTACAATAAACAATGTATATTTTCTGTCTGATGTTGCATCGTTTTATTCCTGATTAACGGGCTTCTCTGTTTTCTTGTTGCAGATGTAACAATAGGACACAGTGTGTGGTGATCACAGGTTCGGAAGTGTTCCCTGACCCATGTCCAGGGACGTACAAATACTTGGAAGTCCAATATGAATGTGTCCCATACAGTAAGTAAACCTGATTGTCCCTTTGTGTAAAAACAAGCATAAAAAATAGTTTTCCAATGCCAAATGCTCGCAACGCATACGCTTTCAGACATTTGGAACCATTCTGCATGAAGGACAGGCAAGATCCTACCCTCCCCCAACTCCCCAAATTGTGGAAGAGAGCCACGCTGCAGCAATAGCCAAGAGTTCTCCTGCAGCCTTAAATTGTTTGCTTTCAGGAACTTGTGTTTTTCAAGAAAACAAACCAGATTTATCCGTTCAGAGTGCCAGACGGAAATGTCTACAAATGCATGATGCTGGGCCTGAACAAATTGATTTGGCTCACATTTTCCTAAAGAAGGTATTGACTCTGATTTCAATCCTGAGTTTCCTTGAGCAGTTACCTGCTGCTGCTGATCCTTTTGTGCATTTTATTAAGTTTGGCCAAGACAAATCCCTTTATTATTGAGCAACTGCAATAGAGTTCTGAGCAAAATCTCTGTCAGTAAACTGTAAATCGAAGCAGATCAAAGATGGCGATGGTAGTTGGAGACATTTCACCTCGTCACAGCTTTAATTTTTGGAAGAAAAAAAGTTACTCCTGACAGTAGTTATTTTTTATAATCCCTTGCTTAAGTAACACAAAACATACATTTATAGTGTTTTAGTATTGTCCCTTGATTATAGTGTTTTAGTATTATGACCTTGAAAATATTAGATTTAAACATCTTAACACAATAAAGGTATAGTATATTTCTGTGATGCTAAAGTTGAATAAAAATGCATACATTGCATAAATATTTAACCTCAAGTCAAAATATTGGTAAAACCACTTTTGTCTGCACTTAACATTTTAAATCTTTTTAGGTTTATCCTACATCTGCATTTTTTCTCTTGACTCCTCTTTGTAAATATCCTCTAGTTCTATCAAGTTGAGTGAGGGCTACAGATTCTCAATGGGATTGAGTTGTACGCTTTGAGCCATTCTATGATATTCAGTTTTTGTTTTGTTTTTTGTTTTTTTTTTTGTTTTTTTTTGTTTTGTTTTTTTAATTTTATGCTAGTCTGGTGTTACATTAGCTGTGCTTTTAGAGTCATTGTAATGTTGGACAGTGAAGCTCCACCCTAATCTTATATTTTTTCGGCAAAATAGTTTTTCCTTTAGAGTTGTATTGTATTTGGCTACTTCCAACTTTCCCTCAGTCCAGACTAGCTTCCCAGTCCCTGCAGGTGAAAAGACCAGTATCCACAAAATATTGATGCTGCCACCAACGTGTTTTGCTATAGGAAAGAGTTTTCATGGTGGCAACCATTGTTGGGGTTCCATATTAAAGCCAGAAATTTTAAGTTTGTTCTCATCAATCCGTAGAACCTTTTTCCATGATTCTGGTTACTTTTGGAAAACTCTAAAAGGGGAGTGGATTTTTATTTTTCTAGTATTTTTTTTTCCTATCAGTAGACTATAAAGCATAGCCTTGAAGTGTGTCTGAGTTTCTCCCATCTTAACCATGAATCTTTGCAGCTTTTAGAATTGCCATTGGCCTTTTGGCTGCTTCTCTTACTAACACCCTCCCAATTTAGTCTTTGAGTTTTTGTGGATGGCTTTGTCTAGACAGTTTTTTGTGCTTTATTCATTCTATTTTTTAATATTGAATTTCATGGTTCTGAATATTTAATCTTTGGTCTTTTTTCATAATTCTGCCCTTGATGCTATTTAAAAAATAATCCCAAATTTTTGTTGATAGCTTATTGGCCACCATGATGCTGTTTGTTTAGATTATTTTTGTTTAGTACACACTCTAAAGCCTTCTAGAAAGAGGTGTAATAATTTTAGGTCAATTGACACTTTAATTGCATACAAGTGGGCTCCATTTAATGAATGTGACTTATGAGAGCAATTCAAAAACCTTTTTAGGGACTTCAGAGCAAAAGGGTGTATATTTATACAATCAAAACTTTTCAGATTTTTTTTTTTAATTAGGAAAACTTTGCTGGTCTCACCAAGACCCCAGGATTTTTTTTTTATTCCCAGTTTTCAATAGATGCACATTTGCAAATATATGTTTAATTAATATAATGCTACTTGTCCACTTATCTGGAGCCATAATACTTCTTCCTGCTTCCCATGTCAGATATAGTTCCCAGTATTGAAGTCTGAAACTCTAATTATGTAACAGGATGTAAAGTGAACTGATCCTGGACCTAGTTACCTTAAGTATAATGTAAGGTAAAGTATTCCTGCTTCAAACATTAAATCGTACGTGGAGAAATTTGTGATTGAATGTTTGAACAGGTTCACTTTCCCTCCCTTTGCAATATAGTAAATCTTGTCCTAACCACACTTTAGTAAATCTAAGTCTGATATCCACTTTTATTTTGTTGATCAAAATGTAAAAGACCAATCTACTAGGAGTTGGGTATGGGTCAGTCCATAGCCCTACATTGTTTCATTCCTTCATTTTGTTTTGGTGTATTACCATCAGATTCCAGACCTTGTTATTCTATGCTTAATTTGAGCTGTAACATTATTTCCTTTTAGCCAATATTTGGAAATATGTTTGAAGAAAACAGACGTGCGTCCTGCTCATTTAGTAGAGAATAATTACTTTTGATACTTTTTTTTTTTTTTTTTTCTTGTCGTAGGAAGTTTATTTTCATTACTTTAAGAAAATGTTCTGTTAAAAATAAAAATGACCAGCCAAGCATTCTTACATGTCAGCTGAAAGTGCAAAGACAACAAGGGCTCATATTTGCGAAGGGGAGACTATTGGCTTCTAAAGTGGTCCTGGTATTTTAATGGGTCCAATTGGATATATGGGAAGGGTGGTAATGTGTGTCTATAGCAAAAGGGTCTACTTTACTAAAATTTTGCATGTTGTGGTACCTTTGCACTTTCATTTCCAGTGGGTCCTCAAAGCGTCTACTCAGCTAAAAACATGCTTCCCCTCTTTTCTCCTTCACATGCCCCAACACAGCTGACCTAAAATATTCTGTTAAAAAAAAAAAAGAAAAGCTTTGCTGGTCTTGGCAGGCAGTTATAGCTTGGTTTTGTTTGCTTGCTTGACTTTTTTTTTAATTTTAATTAGAACCCATTGATTTTTTATTGGTGATGTAACCAGTGTTTTAAGGTGGATTACCTAATGGCAAAAGCAAATATTCTTAGCACCAGTGGAGTGTATGACCTTAGGTATCGCCTGTTGCTTTAGAAAAACATGGGCTTCCAAGGCTGACCTTCTTAATAAAATGTTAGTTGCTTGGCTCTCAATCTGGTCCTGTGACTTCACTCTGTCATAATTCACCTAGCAAGAGTGTGTAGCTCAACGTTTTTGACTTCACTTGCAGAATCCATGTCTGCATATCAAAGACAGCCAGGCAGCTGTTGTTTAGAAGGCCAGCAAATGCCAAGGCAGGCATTCTTAAATTGATATTAAAGTTTATGTAAAGGCATTTTCTTATTTAGTTCTGGAGAGTAGAGAAAGATCGGACCCTTAAGTCAAAGTCCTGTTGACTATTACTGATGACACAGAAATTGAGAGGAAATCCACAAATTTGAGTTGTCATTAGAGAAAGAGATGGAGGATTATCCTCCAATAGGGGACACCTATTCCTTTGACAACTCTCAGAGAGCTTCATTTACTTTTCGGAAATGTCCACTAATTTCTTATGGCATCTTCAGGACAAAGTAAAAAGAATTCTCCCCAGCAGCACTGAGATAGCAAAAAAAAAAAAAACTGATGGGGATTTTAACCTTTCTCTACTGTGTCTCTAAAATGTATATAAAAGATTTGGCCTATTCTTACTGTAAGCTAACTGGACTCAACATTGACATGGCTACCAGCAGATTGTCTCATGTGTGGCTTATTATACCACTCATGGGCTCCAGAGAGATTACCACCAGAATTCCCTGTTCTATCCAACTGCTGTATGCAGACCCCTAACAGACTTTCCGTAATGTAGAAAAACCAAATATTTGGGGTTGCCACCTGCAGGGAAGCATCAGTGACCTTGTTACAGGAGAGAGACCACTTTCTACAAGGAGAGCTTAATAATGGAGTCTTTTAGAGCTATAAGAAACTAATGTGTGGTCCTGTGCAATGGTAGCCCAAAATGAACCATCAGTTTTGGGTTTAATTGACCTTCAGTGCATCTATGCACAGGCTTGAGTTTGGTTTGATAAATCAACTTAGCTGCAAATGGTGTTTTTCCAAGTAATGGAGAAGGTTTGTATGCTTCCTTGAAAACTGTCAATATTAACATTCACATCTAATTTTATTTTAGCAAGCAGGATGTTCTTTTTTTCCTAGTGGCTGTACACAGGAGTCCTTATGCACCGAGTTTATCCTTGTGTTAATTTAATTATATGACGTATGTATGTGCAATAACGTGATATAGATGTGAGTCTTTAGTCACCTCTTGAAAGGGATGTCCACCTACCACCTACATGGTATCTATTTGTGTCTTATAGCTATAGAAGGCAGCAGCTAATCCAGCTGTAACAGTAATTACTTTGTTGGAAATGCCTTGGAGCTCTTGACATTGTGTCATCATCTTCCTGTGACATCCTGTAATATTAAAGGACCCACAAAAGGGCATAGCCCGCACTTGTCACAACATGAACTACTAAGTTGTATCATGTAAAATGTTTAAAACATTTTGTAGGTTGGTTAAAAAAAAAAACAGATTCCAAAAATGATAGGTAAAATATTTCTATAGAATGTTTTTTCTAGAGCTGGTAATGCAATTGAGAAAGTGGACATCTCCTTTAAGACTTGCTCGTCCCTACAAACTGTGTAGGTAGCCATTTTGCTGGGAGACAAATTTATACGAGGATGTTGTCAATTTACTAGGAATAGTAGAAAAGAAGGAGCTCCCGATGTCCAAAAGAATGCACTTTTGATTGTGGATTAGGAGGCATTTATTGAGAGTAACGACAAACACGTCTAGCCAACGTGTTTCAGGAGAAAAGACTCTCCCTTCTTCAGGGCTGTTGCTGCACACTATTAAATGGGAAAAATTTCCCA